TGAGGAATAGAGCCACAGCACTGTCAGCCACTTTTGGCATACAACTTCAGGTGTATGATTACCTGAAAAGTGGAGAGAGATTTGGGGTCATATTCTTTCCACTGTGTCTTTAGCCCTCAAGGGTTGAGGGTCATCTGTCTGTTCTCTGGGCAAGATGGAGCAATAATAATTTTCAAACCCATGAGTGTCCTGCTTATTTTTGAATATATATATTTTGTGAAGTTTTTAGAGCTTTAGAAAAAGCACTAGCAATGAAAGTGAAGAGTGGAATGTCACAGCAAAGGCTGAAAGACCCATACACCTCTTGGTCAATGCTGGCTTTTGGGATACAAGCAAAGCCGGTGAAAGCAATTTTATATTATTTCTTGCATGTCATTCTGAGTATTGCTTCCTAGCTTTAGGCAGCAGCCAGCAATTATTTTTCCCAAAATGCACCTCTGTGTTTTCTTTCAAATGGAAGTCTATAAATGCAGTCTCCATGTGGTGTATAATCTACCATGATTTGCCAGTTGCCAACACGTACAGTACTAGGCAGAGCGCCGAGCAGAGTGATGGGGCGGGGATGCCCACACTGGATGAGTAGAGCAGAGCAGGCACGAGGCCTGAGAGCCAGAGAGCCAGGTGCATTCCCGGTCAGGAAGCTCAGGTCAGAGCACATTTGATTGTGCTTCTGCGCAGGACAGGAGACTGGATCCAGGACGCCATGCAGGTAAGATCTCAAACAAGGGAACTGGACATTTCTAATGCGTCTTCTGGGCAAGGGCTTATTTTGAACTCCAAATGCAGCAAGCATTAGGCCAAGACCTTTCTAATTCAGCAGCTTCAGGGGAACTGTAGGGAGGGAAAGAGAGCCCAATCTGTGGTGATTATTCATGGGCAGACAGACAGGTCCTGTGTCTGGACTCTTGGCTGGGGCTGGTGGATTATTCCAGTCCCAGCAGCCAGAGGCAGCCCATTTGGCAGGTTTTTCTGGTGACTTTTCCAACAGACTCTTTTATCCACAAGTACCAAGCTGCTGAGGACTGGAGCAGCCCTGTCTTAACCAGGCACTAGCCAGCCTATGTCTGTCTGCGTTGTGGTGCTGAGGAGGGGTGGCTTCAACCCACCCTGTTTCTGTCCCTCTGCGAAGGTGTGCACTCGGCTTTGGCTGCTGCTGCCCTTTCCCTTGGGACAGTGTTAGGCACTGCCTGGCTGGGTGCCCTTGATGCTGCTAGGAGAGGAGAAGGGCTTCTCCCTGCACACAGCCATCCACCCTGGCAGCAGCAGCCTTAGTGAAGAAAATGGAGATAAATGTAAAGTTGCTCACCAATGTTAAAATTAACACGCTGACACAATCGTGGTAACTCCTAGACGGCCATGTGTTGCATCCACAAGTAATTCTGCATTGCTTTTTCTCAGAGAATCAGCTGCATTTAGTTTGTGCTTAAAAAATCTGAGAAGTTTGAAATGTAATGGGAATTGATGCATAGGATACATAGTTAACACAAATATCTTTTTAAAAATCTGAGTGGCCTGATTGAGGAGTGAAGAGCTTACTGATGAGCTACATGGAATACTTTTCAGGAATTACGATAAGGTTTTCTTGATTTGGGTAAAAGCAATACAGAACCATAAAAATGATAAATATTCATGGCAGCATCAGCAACTTCTGATTAAATCTACAGATGTCAAGAAAGTTTTCCCTTTGATTCAAAAGCAGTTGATGGGATATATCTTCTGTATTTACTGCAATTTCAAAATATGCATATTTATCTTTAAGAGGTACCATTATACCCTAGCTTCCCATTTTTCTGTTGGTAATCAACCAGTTATGAATTTTTCTTCAGAAACTTCTGGGTTTTAAACTATTACTGGAATTTTGTTGTTTCTATTGTAGTGAAGTTTCCTAATTCCTTTAAACACCCTACAGCCTTTTAGTTCCAGCAGAAGTTTGCTGGAACCACTCTTTGGTCTAGTAAATGTACCTTTAAAAATATTGCTAGCTTCTGAGCTTTGAGAAGTGCTGTGAAGAATAGTTCTGTATTCACACTTTAATTACTGTATTTTTCCTTCGTTCAAGAAGAGGAAAAAGCCTGTTATATTGAATAAATCATAGTTCAGTGAAATACTGCTGTCTATGTGTGTGCCACTCCCCTCTAGCGAATAGAAGTGGAATTGCTCCATCTCATTCCATGCCATGGGCCCTCATCTGCAGCTTTTCAGCTTTCATTGACAGAGGGTTATCTTTATTTGAACTGAACAATGTGAACTTTTTTCTGCTTTTTACGTTAAGGACAAGCCAGACCTTCATTGAAAAGCATGCCAAGTTTGCTAAATTCAGTCCTTCGCACACATGTAATGCCCAAGTAAATACCAAATTAATTTCAACAACAGCGAAGCTGTATTAGTTATTACTGCTACGTCTGTATATCACTGGGTTTGAGTAAGAGTTTCATGCTTCTTGCTCCTGTTTACATACATGCAGCATTTCTTTCAACAATGTTTATCTTTTTCTTGATTGTTGAATATATATTTATTTAGTAATTTTAGCTCCTTCATGATAGGTTGGTGTTTGCTTAATTAAACCTTTGAGTAATTGATACCACTGCTAGAGTGGTTTGGTCACAGATAGGTGTGCAAACCAACATAAAAATATTGATCCATATATTTTCACATGGACATTTTTGTTGAACAAGTAAATATTCTAATATAAAACAGAGGAAGCTAGTGTTATAAAAATGGTGTGTACATGATAGATATTCTGTCAAATGTCAATTAACAAGATATCAAGTATGGGATTTTCCTGGCCAAAGTCCAGTCACATACCTCAGTCATCACTCTAGTCTGTCCTGGAGAGAAATAAATGAATTTGGCTCTCCATTCATCTTCTAATGTACACAACTGGAATATGCTCATGCTGAGAAGCTGATTGTTTCTTTTGATTCATGTTACAGACATGTCAAGCTTGCATGAAGTGAATTCTCTATGTGGTGGTCTTAAAAAATATCTTTCTATCTGCATCTTCACTATTTAATTGTGTTATTTGTTGTCATAATAGACGTGTCATTAAATGGTGGTGATGGTGAAAACAACTTATTTTACACTGACAACCAAAGATAGTCCATTAGAGCTGCACAGGCTGTGAAGGTCTCATTCTTAGCAAAGTAGCCTGAAGAAGTCGTGTAAGATGTAAGAACCCTAAATCAACACAAAATTTGATGAGGCGACTGTATGCTGAAATACATTTAATTAAATAAAACCCAGACAAACCAACATGAATCCAACATTGGGTTTGGTCATACCTCAGAAATGCGGAGGTATGCCTAAGAGTAGAATTTGCTCTATAGAACTTCTTATGTTTGTATATCATACTCACACATTAAAATTGCCACTAGGCATTCACTTAGCTGAAGCCTAAGGAATGGGAAGTGTGAATGTAGCTGAGAGGCCAAGTGTAGCACATTTCCTTCCTTTAGTTTGGGGATCATATTGCGTTTCACATCCTTGCACTTTTCTGAGAACCAAAGCTATTGTTCACCCTTGTTCTTAAAGGATGGCAGATGTTCGTAAAGGCTAAAAGCACTTTTATACTCTTTCTAACTAAAAGAGACCAAATCTTGTGGCATCTAGTTAGGTAAAACTCACACATTAGGTTTGTGTTTGTTTTTTTTTTTTTTTTTTTTTTTTATGGACTGTGCTGTACATCTCTGCAGCTCTATATTTTCTTCCTGCTTATTGGATGAGGGAAAGGCTATGTGTGAATCTTGTCTACCTTGACTTTAGTAAGGCCTCTGATGCCGTTTCACACAATATTGTCCAGCAAAACTGGCTGCTCGTGGCTTGGATGGGTACATGGTTTATTGGATAAAAAACTGTCTGGAGGCCGGGCCCAAAGGGTTGTGGTGAATGGAGTTAAATCCAGTTGGCGTCCGGTCACGAGTGGTGTCCTCCAGGGCTCGGTGTTGGGGCCACTCCTGTTTAACATCTTTATTGATGATCTAGACGGGGGGATCGAGTGCACCCTCAGTCAGTTTGCAGATGACCCCAGTTGGGTGGGAGTGTTGATCTGCTCGAGGGCAGGGAGGCTCTGCAGAGAGACCTGGACAGGCTGGAGCCATGGGCTGAGCTCAGCTGGAGGAGTTTCACTAAGGGCAAATGCCGGGGGCTGCCCTTGGGCCACAACAACCCCCAGCAGCGCTACAGGCTTGGGGAGGAGTGGCTGGAGAGCTGCCAGTCAGAGAGGGACCTGGGGGTGTTGATTGACAGCTGGCTGAACAGGAGCCAGCAGTGTGCCCAGGGGGCCAAGAAGGCCAATGGCATCCTGGCTTGTGTCAGCACCAGCGTGGCCAGCAGGGACAGGGAAGGGATCTGACCCCTGTACTCGGCACTGGTGAGACCGCACCTTGATTCCTGTGTTCAGTTTTGGGCCCCTCACTACAAAAAGGACATTGAATGACTCGAGCGTGTCCAGAGAAGGGCAACGAAGCTGGTGCAGGGTCTGGAGCACAGATTGTACAGGGAGTGGCTGAGGGAACTGGGGGGTTTAGTCTGGAGAGGAGGAGGCTGAGGGGAGACCTCATCGCCCTCTACAGCTCCCTGAAAGGAGGGTGCAGAGAGCTGGGGATGAGTCTCTTTAACCAAGGAACAAGCGATAGGACAAGAGAGAATGGCTTCAAGTTGCACCAGGGAAGGTTTAGACTGGATATTAGGAAGCATTTCTGTCCAGAAGGGGTTGTTGGGTGTTGGAATGGGCTGCCCAGGGCAGTGGTGGAGTCCCCATCCCTGGAAGGGTTTAGGTGTTGGGTTGACATAGCGCTGAGGGATCTGGTGTAGTTCGGAACTGTCAGTGTGAGGTTAATGGTTGGAATGGATGATCTTCAAGGTCTTTTCCAACCTACATGATTCAGTGATTCCATTGTAACAAAAGGATAAAGTCCTGTTATTACACAGCACTTTGAGAACTGTGGCTGGGAGGTGCTATTACAGAATTGTTGTTAAAAATGATCGCTTTTCTTTTCCAGAGAGATCAGTGCTTGCCCAGCCAACATTTGTTTTTGAAAAGAAGGACCGTCCTTTGAAGGTAAAAGAGATTTTTTTTTCCCCCATAATTAATAAAAAATGCTGAGGAATGAGGATTCTACAGACAATGATCCTAGCAGTAATAAAAGATTTTAGCTCAGGTTAAGACTTGTAATAAATGGTTTTAAAATACCACAATGAAGAGTAGAAACTAGAAATAAGACTGATTTTAATGCATACATGGTTGGTTGATATAATACTTTGTGTCCTGGTCTAGAAAATGGCTGTTGTATTCTCCTTGATCTTGCCACACTCTTTTTTTTTTTTTTTTTCCAGCGGCCTGCAGAAGACCCAGTTTGCAAAGCTGAAAATGGTAATAACCATCTCATTGAAACAGTATAGTAATACATTGGGTTATTTATAGGTCTGACTGTTGCCTGTGAAAATAGCAGTTGGACCCTTACTTTGTATGAGCAGGGACAAATCCTTGTGAGTAGACTAAGACTACTATGTGAGTTGTAGAGCCACCTACTATGTCCTAATACATATGTCCCCATCTTACCTCTGATTTTTTCCATCTTACCTCTCATATTTACCAGAAAACCAAACTCCAGAAGCCCTGAAATGTGTCCAAGTATATTAATCAGCTGTGTGAGTTCCTATCTGACCTTTTCTATTTGTTTAGGCTGCATTATAATGTAACTTCTCACTCCTAATGTCTTCTGAGCCTATGGGCTATGAACTGATTCTCAGTGCTTGATTTAGGTTCTCTGAACTTACTAGAAATAAAGAAGGCTCTCTAGGGCTTTGTGCCAGGTGTTGACTGAGATTCCAGAGCCCTCGTGCTCTTCAGGACTGCCTTAAAGCAGTTCCTGTAGGTCTCTCCTAGCATATATTGTGTTCATTTTTAATTCAGTATCATAACATTGTGCTGAAATCTCCTGCCAGTCTGTCTCTGCAGAACACTGTATTTGCTTTTCTCTAGATTTTAATAGTTGTTCCAGAAAGCGTGGAAGATCATCATCTTTTACTTTCCAGAAGTCTGACTCTCAGTTTAACTCAGGTATGACGTTTAGCTCCAGTCATGTTTTAATTACTATAGTTATGTATTCTTATGTGGTAAAGAAGAAAAGGAACTTTTCTGTCTAAGGAAAATTTCTGCACTGCAGAAATGCTGCAGGTAATGAAAACTTGAACACTATATAAACTTGCTGGTAATTTCCAATAAATCCCCTTTTCAGTAAAAATATATTGATTTTCCATACTTACATAATATTACATAAACCAGTGAAAAATCTGCATGTTTCATATCATTTCCTTGAATTGGTTGCACAGTCAAGGGAGGAGGAAGGCTAGAAAGGAATGAGATTCCCTGATTTGTGAAAGAGATCATGTTCCCTGGGCAACCCCTGAAAATATAAAACAATTTCCAGTACGGTCCCTCCTTCCATCCAGCCAACAGCTGACCTGGAAGGCCCTTTAAGGGCTATGTGTTGCTTCCATGGGAAATGGACACAAGTCACTGAGGCTACTGTGCAAAAGGATTAATCTGTTTTTTACAGTGTTTATTTAATTTACGGATGGGACCTGAAAGTTATTTCTGAATTAAGGTATTAATATGTGTACACTACACTTTGTTTTATCTAGTTCTGTGACACGCCTGAATGTAGCTAAGACGATTTAAGATAAGCTAAGTTTGGTTTACTCTGAAAATTGTGCTGAGATCATGCACAGAAAATGATAGATAGGCAGAAATTTTAGGGTATGCCTTACTGAAAAATAGGGAGCAGGAGGAAGCTTGAGCATTTGACCTCTTGATTGTCCACACAGCTTAACTGGTAGCTCACTCCCTGGTTCTGTTTTGAACCTCTCCAACTGGCAGTCTCCAAGACAGAACTGTTACAGAGTGGACTAGCTGTAAGCAGCATGCGCAAGCCAGGCTGTGCCACTTGGCCTCAGAGGACTCCCCAGTTCAGCAGCATAGGCATAACGAAACAGTCTACTTCAGAAAACCGGTAGTTAACAGATAATAATTTATTCTACTGTCAATGAAGGTGTGACATCAAATTGGCTAACCCTAAAATTAATCTCTTTTTTTTCTCCAAACAAATGATAATTTCAGTCTCTTATCCTTTCAGATACAACTCTCACTCAGAAAAGAGAGAGATCATCTTCATTTACCATCTTTCCTACCTTCCCTCCCTCCCAGCCAGGTAATTAAAAAAAAAAAGAAAACAAACCCAATAAATATTTATGGAGAAAAGCAGGTATTAGTTAAAATAAACAGGTGTACAGAAATGCTTTTTCTGCAGGACAGAGCTGAAGTGCATTTGACTAGGCTGGCATTTGGACAGGAGAAAGGAATGTTTTAGGAGAAGGATTGGCAGTTCAACAGAAGAAATGTTTTTTGCATTTGGTGCAAGTGCTGGGTAGGACAGGCATTTACAGGCTGAATGCTTGAAAAACCAGAATGGAGTTAAAGTAATTACATGAATTAGTTTGCTTGCAATTTGATGGTGATGGTTCCTATAAGAATATAATTTTCTATCCTAGGGCCTATGTGTCTAACCAGTGACCCTGGGAGTATTCTCCCACTTATCACTAATGTGATCAATGGAGTGGTCTCTTACCAGAGACAGGTCCTTGACAAACATTGGCATAAAGGATTTCTAAACAATTTTAAGAGGACACAACGTTGTTATAGCAACAGACCACACTCTGCAATGAAAAGTACTGATTGTGTGCAGAATTCAGTTGTGTAGGGACATGGTTCATGGTCACTGTCACTTTCTGGCTGGTGTTTGGTATCTTTATAGAAACAGTGAAAGCATCAGTAATGCACTGCTGTTGTTACAGTACGGTATGATAGCCTTTTATCAGAGCAGGGCAGGGTACTTTTATTTATTCCCATGTTCTGGAGCCTCATTTACTCAGTTTAAAAATATCTAAGACTGGAGCAGATAGTATTGCCATTTCAATAGCTTTTGCAAACAAGCAGCATGTGGTTTTGAAACCTGAAGAAGTTTTCTATGAGTTTAAAACATCCACTAATATGCAAAAGATTTCTGTCTCTGACATAGTTAGAAAATCCATGGTGATTTCTGTGCCTAGGTCTACACACCTCTAAACCAGAGACAGTAAGAGTTATCTCAGAGATCTTGATTAGATGGATAAGAATATTGCTCAGGTACTACCAAAATAAGGAGGGGTTACAGAAACACGAGTTAATAATTAAAGTTTGTTATTACTCATTATTAAAGTTTAAATTACTTGTTCTGTAGTAAAGAAGAATAACATTTTTATGACCTCAGCTCTTCAAAGAAACCCCAGCTTGATCAAAAGTGCAAAAGAAGGTAACTGTCATTGCATTATTTCTTCACTGTAATTCCACAAATATGTTCTTAACAGATACAGAAGACACAAAAATGACAACTCTTCTCTATGTTGAGTGATAGGCTATGTATCTTTATGAGGTTCATAAGGGTTTTTTTTGACAGTGTAAGTATCCTGTGAGCTCTGTTCTGAGACTCTGCTCTGACTACTTAATTTCTGAGAGGATTGAATATAACCTTGAATAGTGAAATTCTACATTTCTAACTGAATAACTCTGCTCCTGAACAAGGCATTGAAAAACCCTCTTGGTATCTGCAGGTTCAGGATTAAATTTGAAATACCAAAAGACAGTTCTACCACAAAGCAGTAAATATAAGTATAAATATAAAGATATTTAAAAATACATAATTGCAAATATATTTTATAAATTAAATAAATACATTTATGTATATAACACATTTTTATTCCAATAGGATAACAGGGGTTGGTGTCACTGCAGTGTGTATTTTAGAAGGGAATTTTTCAAAATATGTAGCAAGTAAACAACAATAAATGTTATTTGAATATGCTTTGAAGCTTTAAGTTAAGAGGCAAGACACATAGGTATGAATTAGATATGAAGAAAAAGTCTCTGTTTTAATATTTTGTCTTTGTATTTTGCAAGGATCCTCATCAGGAAGTCAGATGCGGAATGTCATTAGACCTGCTGTTTTACAACCACCACAAGCCCTGTCCTGTCCTGAAAATCCTGTAGTATCTCTAGTGACTAAGAAAAAAGCACACGTTCAGGTAAAAAGAAAAGTAAGTTTACTGGCTAAGTGTCCTGGTTCAGCTAGGGTAGGTTTAAGTCCAGGCAGGGCCTAAACCACCACACTAGGATATGTTTGGAGCTCAGATTAAAACTAAAGCAAAACAGTGACATTTTAAAGCAGTTAATTATTCCCCTGCATGATTTTCAAAAAAGTTCTCATATCAGTTTCAATGACATGGTATGAAATGTTAAAGTCAAACTGACTGTGTTTGAAGAAACATCTTTTCCCTGCAGGCTGTCTCAACTTTCAGATAGGGGGGTTCTGTGGGCAAATCAGCTTGCGGGGGGGGGTGTTAGATTTTGGTTATTTAGAAAGTAACATTTTAGCATTTTGATTAAGGGCACCTACTTAGTACACAGCTGGAGGAAGCTCTGCCAACTACCACATATATATATACCTCAGTGTCTCTGGTCTTCTAGTGGATCTGTCTATAGCAGAAAATAAGCTTGGTCTAATTAATTAATCTGGTTTTATTATTCCTAGCTATCTGAAGACAGCTCTTATTCTTCAACTGAGAATCTACTAAGTTTCAAAACAGCAGTGAGGTCATCTAATACCATGAATCCTTCTAGCTCAGAAACAACACAGTAAGATTTTATTTATTGTATTTCTACACCATTTTGTCACTTGTCCTATGGCATGCCCTTTTTGTCCTACATGTCTAACATGGCACTAAGCCCATGCTGTCTATGCCCAGCACTCACTTGTGTTTGCATGTGCTGCCAGGATTTGTGAGTGATGACATGAGCTCCGTGTGCTGTAAGAAATGGATTCCTGCTGGGAATTAATCTCTGTGGGACAGTTTGTTTCTCATTAGTGATGCCCAAGCCAGAAACTATTTTGGTTTGCCATCTCATGCAGCTTTGGCAGTTGAAAATATGTCCTGGTTTTGAATGTTTACAGTCATCTTTGCATCCTTTTGGAGAACTCCCTTCTGATAGCATAGCTCCTGCATCTCAAGAACAGATGCAGATAAACTTGGGGAGTACCACATTATGCCAGCATAATGGACACAGGAGGCATGAAAAAAACCCCATACAGAACTGGTCTGCAAGACAAGGTAAATGCTGCAATCGATGCTCTATGTCCATGTACATGCCAGAATTCCTGGCATGAACAGCTGGTTGTGATGATGGTGATAGGGCGGTATCTTTGTGCAGATATGGGTTGGCAGCATGGACTTCAGAATTTCTGCATGAGAAAGCTGACTAGAATGTTGCCCCATGTCCTCTCCTCTGTATGTGACTGAAAGAGCTCATACTGATGCAGAAGTGGGCTATTACCTCTCTGGAGACTGGCTCACAAGAATGTTAGGTCTGTAGTTAGCCAACAGGTTATCTTGTATGTATTAACACTTTTTGCTGATGGTTGATGAGGTTTATTTACCTGGAAGCTGTGAGCATCATGAATACACCTGGGATCCGTTATCATGAGAGAATGACATTTCAATATTACTAGAGCCACAGATAGCACATCTGTGATGTTGCCTCCTTTCTGCCTCCCACCCAGAGGACAGGGAGGAGTTAACTGTCGTTGTTAACTTCGAAGGAGATTCCAGTCTTCTTCAGGGCTGGATGGGCCACAGATAAAGGTTCCTGCACAGAACATTTGGTTATGTTGGGGTTCTGAGTAGATAAGGGATTTTTAGATGCACAGGCAGTTTAGATTCTTAATCCTTATCAACAAGAGGAGCGTCATTAGAGGGCAGATGCTCCCTTGATTTTTGAAGAGCCAGCCACAATTAATGCTGTGATCCTTTGAGGACAAAATGGAGCGACATAGCATGCTGGATTTTTAGCAGATTCAGAATGATGGTAATGCATGTACTGGAAAAGCTAAAGAGAAGATGGTTCTGACTTCAGAATCAGTTGGTATTGATACTCCAAGTCTATTTACCTTCTGTCAACTGCACAACAGCTAGGAAAAGATAGGTGAGTAGCTTTCTCTTGTGAAGTAGATGGATAGAAAAATGTAATGCAGTGTTTCAGTGCTGACAAGTTACAACACAAAAATGTTTATGGTATTTCTTTTTCTTTTCTTTTTTAAAAGAGGAATTGTTAATCTGCTTGGGGTACTTGTGCCTCATTAGTTCTGTATATCACAATTGTGGTAAATGGTTTATTTGACAAGTTGAAACTAATTTCAATACAACTAGATGCTTACTGCTCTTCTGAGTTTGCAGGGGAGTTTAAGTGCCATTCTTCTGATCCATATTAAGTGACTGATACTTTAAAATACTTCAGTAAAATCTTTTTTTCATATTTGTTTTCTCGTAGATAACTTGACAACAAGTATTCAAACAAACAACTTTATTAAACTCCATATACATGTTAATAATAGCGAACATTGTAGGCAGACCTGCTCATTGCTAGGAATGCTAAGATTTGTTTTTAATTATCAATCAAGGTATAGCTATTGGCATTTATCTACAAAAATTAAAATGCAGAAAGACTCAACATCAGGGATTGCTGCTGCCTGCAAACATCCCTTTTACTTTCACTCCCCTTCTACCTCTTATGTGATACAGTTCCATAGAGATGAATGAAAATGGTTTCTTAGCCCTCTGCAGTTGTTGCAGCTCTTCATGTCCCAGGAAACCACCACCAACTCAATTTTCTGAACTGGCTGTAGTAATGAACCAAAAAGGAGAAATTTGTAGTTTCTCTTCTGATTAAAATCTTGGAAACAAGATTGTATCATGACAGAAATATAATGCTGGGGAAATGCAGGCTTCTGGTCTTGTATTCAGCTTTGCACAAGCTTGGAAAACTACACGGGTTCAAGGCCAGCACTGGAACTGGCAGCTACTCAGACCCTTCTGGACACTCTGAGAAGGACACTGCTTGGATCAACTTCCATTCCATAGTCCTGTTCCAGTATCTTATCCACATTTCTCCTCCCATCCTTCCTTGTTAGTGGTCATTCCCTGAATTCAGTGCCTCTGTTTTGCATCTCCATGGCAATGTCATCCATGGCACACTTTGTTCTTGTCCTGCAGCAAGATAAGGGTATTGCGTTTTTAATAAGTATTTAGGGCTGGCACTTCCAGTTAACTCTCTGGAAAAAAGAAAGATCCTGCACTGATTACTTTGTCCTCACATTTCTGAAAATCCACTTCCCACATTATTTAATTGAGACAAGCCTCTAATTTCTGGTTTTTACCTCTTCTGGAGTGCTCTCCTTACTAAGTTGCTACTGGAGCAGCCTCGAAGTAGCAGTGGAATGTCAGGATGGATTGTTCACAATTCAGTGTGTTTTAGTGAGTTTTCTTAAGGATAAGAAACTTACTAAACACACTTCATATTCCCTGTTCATGGCCTAAAACAAGTATGGAAGGCTTCAAAGCTGAAAAGAGATGGATTTTCTGATTTCTCTTTCTTATTTGCTCTTAGTCTTAGCAACATATCAAGCATAAGAACGTTAAGGAATATTTTTTTCCTTGTGTAAAATGGAGATAGCTTGTATTTGCAAATTTCTCCATCCTATGTGAAGCAGTTTCCAGCATGCTGTAGATGTGAATACAGAAACTAAGTTTTAGAGTCCTGACAACAGAAAACAAAGTTTTAAAGTTCTGGCAACAAATCCAGCTTATTAACAGGTATATCCTCTGCATGACATGTGCTGTTAAGCCCTCCCAAGGGTGATAAATGATCTGTAAGAGCAGATAAGTGGTTCAGATGTACGCATTTTGCAACAGAACATCAGATCATCTTCTTGCCACGTTGTCCTTCTTCCTGTCCTTCTTCCTGAACAGGAAGAGACAAGAACTTGTGTGGTTTTGCCCTTGCCAGCAAGAGATGCAGTGATTAAGCTCTAGAGAAAACACAAACAACATATAAACCTTTTGTAAAAATAAAAACAAAAAACCCAAAACAGCAGCAGGAACAACTTCCACACAAAGAGCTCTTCTAGTGACTTTTATAAAAAATGGATCCTGTTTATTTAAAGTGTCTATGTAATTAGCAGGTCAAACCACAACTCTACTTAGAATATTATAGAATGTAGTCCACAAATAACATACTTTTTACAAGTTGTGACTTATGTTATTTAAAAATGCATTCACCTTCTCTTAAAACCTCCCGAGAGGTAAGAAGCTAACAGAGTAGTTAAATGCAGGATGACAATGGGAAAAAAAAAAGTTTTTTATCCACCTGAGACACTGAGAAAAAAGGACAGAAGAGAAGAAGGACAACTGTTTTAATGTAGCTACTGCCAAAACCAGTCACACTCCAGATCCTAAATGTAAAGTGATTTATATACTGTATGAAATTTTCTCCCAAATCTGTATCCCCAAACTATAGTTGGCCAGTACCAAAGGATTGCAAGTATTTAGTTTTCTTCACTTCTCATTTTAAATATATTTATGGAACAGGGCACTGAAAGTGGAAAGATCTTTCTTTCCTGTTTTAGTTTTACCTCACCATAAGCCATCTGGTATCATACCTTTACATTTTTTCAGTATTTATGTGAATTGAAAATGTGTGTATTAGAATACACTGCCTTTCCAAGATGTTAGGGGGATGACCAAGGAGTGCCTGTAGGGTACCAGAGCGGCACCAACATGAAGGGGTGATTGTTCATTGTTGGTAGTCTTTTGGTGGGGCAAAAGGAAACAGGGTAACAAATGTAATTCGTTAATATTTCTGGAGTAAGACACTTCCCTAAGGAGGAGAAGAAGACATGTTGTTTTGCTTCTTATTCTTTGTTTTTAAGAAACATGCTCAATAATCTTCATGAAATACAGTGTGATAATCTTTGTTCTTTTTGTGATATGTTACTTACAGAATATTCTCAGATTGTTTTAAAGAATTAGTCTGATTACTTAAGTGGTCATTTTTTTGTTTGTCTTTAATGTAAGGTGTGGTAAAGTAAATGCATGAACTTATTTATATTCTTTACAAAGCTCTAAATAGTTCTAAATCACATTCTTATGTTATTTTGTTCCCACAGAAGTCAATTGTTTGAAGACAGAAGTGTACAAACCAGCAGCAATTCTGATTTTGTGTTTGGAGAAAACATGGTTGAGAGAGTTTTGGTAAAATCTGTAAATGCTAGCAGACTTTTTATCAAGGTTAATGTACTTTTAATTTTTTTTCAGAAATTTATTCTTTTTAGCACCTCCTGTTCTTTTAAAGGTTTGAATAAATATGATTCCAATGGCTGTTGACAAGAAAATATCTAAATATTTGCTGTAGGAGGGGTAGGCATTCCTATCTTCCCCATCCTAGATAAGTACTCTAATTCCTAATCCATACCAGTATGCACTTTTTCTCTTTTGCTCATTTTTTGACCTGAAATATGATTTTTTTATATATGCCATGTAAAAGAGGACAGCCACAGTAAGAGATAAAAGAATGTGGTCCCCACCACTTTAATAGTTTCCATCATAACTGTTTAGAGATGGGAGAAATTAGTATGGCAGGAAAATTGAACACTCATCCTAGATAGTGTCCATGTTAAACTATATTGTGCATCCACGAGACAATTTAATGGACAAAAAGGTCATTCCCAAGCTGAGGACCATACCACCTAAAATGAAATTGAAATTGAAATTCAGTTTCTCGTAGAAGCAGAATGAAAACAGTATGCATATCTGTGAGTGAAAAAGCTTGGCAACCATAGGTCTGGTGTTATGACTTCTGACCGGGATTTGTTTATAAGGTCAGAGCATTGTCAGGAGCCAGTAGCATTTACTTAGACATGCCAAAGAAACTTTATCTGCAAAAACTGAAGGTCATGGATCTTTTTAGTTCCTCTGAGGTTAAGTTTGTGGTTTCTGAGAGTTTTAAACTGTGCTTCTCAGACTTAAGTGCTTAAGCTGGAAATTAGCTGATACTTAAATATCTGAATCCTTCTGTGGATTTAAATCCTCATCCAGGATCCATACAAAGAGGCTATTCTTATTGGTGGAAGAATCATGTACTGATTTTATGATAACAAAATTATTTCCACTAGAGACTGAAGTCTGGGTCAGTTTTTGCTCTGAAGATATTATAATTTATAGTCTTCAGCTAGCATGCATTAAATGATTCAGTGTTCTGTTTGGTATAAAGTAACATAGCCATTTAATTTAAAAAGGAATTCTTATTTCCTCTTTTTTTTTTTTTTTTTTTTTTTCCCCAGAGTCCTGAAAAGCATCCCAAGCCATGTAATAAGGCTGATTCATACAAAGGAGAAATAACATCCACATGCATAGAATCTTTTAATCTCAATCCACAAACAAGTAAGCATACTTGGAAAACAAGTACAGTTAGATTTATTATTATGTTTCACTGTATTTTAGAGGATGTCAAACGAGTGGAGGTCAATAATTTTCATCTATTCTCATTATCCAGTCATTAGTACACTTGCAGTATGTGCCAAATCTGTGTTCAGAAACCAGCCACAGTTCAGTTTATGACATTTGAACTGTACTAACTTCAGAATAAATGATCTAAGTTATTCATGAAAGCATAGAGTTTTACAGATTATTACTATTATTATTTCTTACAGGTTATTATTATGTGTTTTATGAAAGAATACAGTGAACTTTGTGAATGTCTTTTGGACCACATTTTTGAATTTTACAATTTTAAGCTGTCTGCTACTTGTATCTTGTGAGTGCTAATATAAATTAATATGTCATATTTGTATCCTAATTGTAGGACTGAAATTTCTATACAGACAGATTTTAGGGGTTGTTTGTCACTGTGGTGTGAGCTTTTCTACTAGGCAAGCCACATAAACCTAGGCTGTGAGGGAATAACGTGAAGGCCCCTATCTTGAGCCCTCTTGCCAAACTTTGCACCCCTCTTTACTAAAGAGTGTATTGGATCCTCTTACTTTGTATGAACATTCTGACAAGTTTAAAAAACATAACTAAAGACTATGGAAAATGTGTATCAATTATGCAAATATACAGCACTTTGTAACAATGTTGTTCCTTTCAAATCTTGTCCTTTCATGTTACTATCAAATATTCACTGTGTATTTATTACTATTCTGAATATTGGGACATGTGTCTTTCATTGTTTATTAATCTGCATAGCAATATGACAGACCAGTTTCATTTGGAAAATCAACTTCTAATTATTTAGGGCTTGTTTCTGTAAGTTGTCCCTTGGGGAAAACCTCTGCAACTGCAGAGACCCCTGTTCAATTCAAAATGAGCCTAAACAGATGAGACATTTTGCAGTATTCCAGCCTTTTTCTCTTCTATTTACTACTTTGACCAAAAACAATATTACTAAATAATCTCAGACACCACAGGAATTCCTGAAGTCACAGGCCATTGATTGTATGTGCTAGTTTTGCTATCCTGAAAATATTCTCTGTAAAGAAAGGATTTTCTTTTCCCTCTACAGAAACAGCTTTATGGAGGAATGCAACACTAATTGAATCAGCAGCTGCTTTTGTTTCCAAGCCAGTTGAGAAAATTCTGTTAGATAAAGTTGAAGTTATAACTGGAGAAGAAGCAGAACACAATGTCCTACAGGTGTGGATTTCAAAAAGCCTTAATAGTGAGCAATTTTGTGGTTGAAAAGAACATCTAAATCTTTTACAGATTGCAACAATCTGAAAAATAACTTGAGTTTATATTTTAAGTTTTCACTTTGTTAAGGTATGCCTCTGCTAACCCATTTTTCTGTAGGCTGATTCTTTATTTTTCATATTTTATTTGTTCTGTTGTAGTCCCTTTCAATAAATAACTGCTTCACACTTAGTGTTACCAGCAGTAACTAAAAGTTCAAAACTGAAAGGGTTTTGAGTAAAGATATTTTTACGACAAAACTTTTTTTCTTGAAAAAAATCAATGTATTGTCAAAGTAATTAGTTTTACAGTTCATGTAAAATATCAATTCTCTTTCTGGCCTGGCAAGACATATCTGCTATTCTTCATCTTCAAAATATTATTTTCTCAGAAAATAATAATAATAATGTATATGTCTTTAAAAATCTTAACACTGAAAGTTACATATTTTATCATTGACTAAATCTTCTGTCTTGTCAGAACATGGATGAGTTTTACTCTCTTTGGAGTAGTATTCTCTGGTACTGGTGGGCTGCATAATGTTTCTAATGAGTGAGGGAATAGGATTGTAGAACATTTGCAACAAGTTCAGCTGTGTTAGTGGATATCACAGGTGACGAGTTAACAGTTATTGAAGAAGAAATAATTTAAAAGTAAATTGGGATTCATGCTGAATGTTTTCCATACTAGCAGAAAGTTTAGCACAAATCTGAGAGACATTTTATTTAAAGTAATAATGTGATATATTTATCTTTGTATACACACATATGGATGTATTAAAAGCCATATCAAAAGGTTTAAAAACATAAAGGTTTAGAACCAATAAAATTAACATTTGCTGGCAATTTCCATCATGTATTTCTCTTTCAGATCAACTGCAAGCTCTTTGTATTTAATAAGATTTCTCTAATCTGGATTGAAAGAGGCAGAGGATCCCTGAGGCTTAATGACACTTCTAGCAATAAATATGGAATGCTGCAGTCAAGGCTAAGTAAGAATTAAATAATGAAGTAACACATATACAAAACACTAAATAATTTGAGCTATTGGTGTCCAAATTGAGTTTATTTCAGAATATTTAAAAATGAGTAGCTAGTTCTATATGTCAAGTTGCTGAGAATCTTCCTAACATTTCCTGATAAAGCTAGCTGTGTTACGGAGTGAGGCACTGGGCATTTTCTACAGTTTATGCACTCATGCTTGCATGTTGATAGGTTCTGTCTATTTCTACTGCAATTTATCTTTAGCTCAGTCACCAGTCTGAACAGTTTGCTCTTTGTTGATTCTGCTTTTCCAGAAGCACTGTTTCAAGTCAGTGCTGGAATGTTGTTTTTACTGTGCTGTCAGTTTTTATACTGTATTGCACAGTTTCAGCAGATTATTTGCTTTGTATGCCAGATGTATTGAATGAAACTAATGTATTTTGGTATTTAAAAAAAAAATAAATAAATCTCATCATGTCAGGTTTTAGACCAAACTAAAAAGAGCAGTTCATGAAAATATTAGTTGTATAGAAGTGCTAGAAAAACTGCTGCAGTAAAAATGAAGATAGTTCCAATGACTTGTCATATAAACCTTCTTATTTTAGTTATGCGAAATCAAGGCAGCTTGAGACTGATTCTCAACACCCGACTCTGGGATCAAATGGTTATAAAAAGAGCAAACAGAAAGAGCCTGTGCTTCACTGCAACAGACCAAGAGGACCATTCTGTTCAAGTATTTCTAATTCAGGTAAGTGAGATAGAAAAACCCCACCCAAATCCCCATTTCGTCTAGGATTCTGAAGACTTGCTGAGGCATCGGTTTTAGCAAATGGCCTTTTATGCTCTGTCAGGCTGTGCTTAGCTTAGCTGTTACATGGCTTTTATTATGAAATGAGTTAAAAGTGCTGTACCTTGGAATTTCAAAGAAAAGGTCTAAAGATGGGATATGGCTTTAGACATTTTCAAACTCTAGTTCACATACCACTGATGGAATGGATATCATTGCAGTCATATTCAGCAATTACTCTTTCTTATGGAAGCCACACTGTAAAAATTTCTATATACATAGTTACATATTCGTAGGTTACTCTTGTATAAGGCAGCAGCTTTCTGCCATGGTTCTGGACACCGTGTTTTCAATAATCCATCTGGTGTATGTCCTCCATTTCTCAGTGGAGAAAAGCACAGATTTTGCAATGTCATCTTATGTAAGACAATAGTCTTGGGAATCCTGGTTTTCTCTAGGAAGGGCTGATAAGTTGAGTATGGAAATGTGGTGGACTTACTTGGAAATAAATAGCACATGTGTCCTAGGTTGGGAAGTGAGAGCATCCATGTGAGTTTAAGGATGTCTCTGGTTTCCCCAGTAGACCTTTCTGGGAAGGGTTCAGCACCTTGTGCAAGCAAAACAAATCACTGCTTCCAGGGAGTGTCATGTCATACACAGGCACCATGCACTCACTGTATATACCATCACTGTAAGTCTATCCCTTCCAAACAGTGATTGATTAACTATGGCTGTGTTGTGCAACTGGTCTGCATGTAAGAGTTAGAAATGTCCTAGATTTCCAGGCATGCTGCACAGTTTTTCTAGTGTATATAGATATGGAAATTCCTTAAATTCTGTTCTGGCACTTCTGGACAGTAAAAAAAGACATGTATTAGAAAACCAAGATACATGACAGCTGTATGTGTGTGGCAAGAGTTGCAGGAAGCTCCTTTTACAGTCATCACTGAAGTGGCTGGTATCCATCCCTACAGCTGGTATCCAGCCAAACGAACACTGAGACTCTTGAGTGTGGAAGGCAAATTGGTCAATGTGTGACACCCAGCAGGCATCACCAAAGCCTTGGACCTAAATCAGGCTAGTCTAGTAGTTGGTGGATTCCACTCCTCCAAGGCACTAGCAGATATTTTTAACTGCTATTTACATTTGTTTTTCCCCTGTCACATGAATTATTGATAGATACATTTGGTTCAGGGATATTATCAAAAGGGTTCCTCATGAGTGAGGGAGAAGGGTCATATGATGCTGACTACAGAGGAGGTAGTCCACAAGACTCCCTTAGGTCAGCCCTGTAGTACTCACCCAGGTTTGTGCAGAGGGCTGACCCTGACTCCTCCCCTCATGTTTGTTTCTTCCTCCTCACTTTAGGTGGCATTGGAATTTGTACAGATGTGAGTGAGGCAGGTCAGAGAACTAATCTGGGTGGGTTTTATTGGTTTTGCTAAGTTAGTTTTTTAGCTTGATTAAAATTCACCCTGTGATTTCCCTAATGGTGGTACTGGCACAATGTAGAGGGTAGAAATGAAGAGTCAGGAGATGTATGGAGGTGAGCCAATCCCCCCTTAGCAGAAGCAGGAGTTCATATTAGATTTAAAGTGACAAAGAAACTCTAGCTTTTAAATCAGTAAGTAGAAGGCTACAGATAGGAATGATCAGGTTGAATAGCTGCCTCTTTCCTATTTATAACCCTAAGTTTCCTGGAAAGTCTTGTTATCTTGAGAGCTCTGATTTGTCCACTGAGAATTGCATTTGCATTTGAGACACCCGAACAACTCTGAATTTCTTTCTTCTTTGCTTGGCTGTAGGGAGATAATTGTTTGTGGCTGCAAGTCTGGGTGGCACAGAAGGCAGCCCAGATCTGCTGCTGCTTCCCAGTCACATAGCTTTTCCACCTATATGCACGTGTCATTCCAATTCAGACAAGACATATTTCTTCCTGTTGCCAAGTGCTACAGATAGAAACTGCTACACATGGTGCACAGAAGTGGAGAACTGTGCTACAGAAGACCATATGCATTCAGTTACCCTCTGGTAGATGATCTGCTTCATAAAAACATAAGTGGTACTCTGCTGGAACTTCTGACCGTGCCCAAATGCAGTGCTTTTAGGAAGCACAGGCAGTTATGGCCACTTTGTATGGTCTGTTCACCTCATCCACCCCCAGTGTCCATAAGTGTTGTATTAGGGATCTGAGAGCATGCAACCCTACTTGTTTCCTTTGCTATCTATTTTATGAAATGATTGTCCCTGATTTTTTCTGATTCCTTTTTTAAAACTTTTGTTACTATATTTTTGGCCTCTTGTTTTTAGTTTATATTCTCTGTCCCCACATTCTCCTGAGATAGCAAATTCTAGAAGTTCCTACTCACTCTGTGAAGAAGCACTTTCTTTTATGCTGATCCTCTACTGCTTTCATTAAGCATCTACCCTGGTGCATTTATTGTGTGGTCTGATGGACAGACATACCATATTCAGTTTATCCACCACTTTTATGATTTTGAAAACCTTAGTTATACCCCCCTTCTCATCCTTCCCTTCAAAGTCTCAACTCTTAATAAAGAGCTACACCACACCCTTGATATTTTCGGTGGCCTTCTCTTTGTCTTTAATTGTGCTATATCCTTGAGCTGTGATAACCACAATGGAACACAGTTCTAAGGACATGGCTGCTTGAAGTTTTATGTACTGGAAAAATGCTGCCTTGTCTAGTTCTCAATGCCTTTCTTGATGATGCTCATTTTCTGTTCAACAATAGCAGCAGAATTCATGGTATCTTTAAATTTTGTAATCACAAATAATTTTTTGTAGTTAGGTTTTAAAATTCTTATTTATCCTGTAAACAAAAATGCAATTTCAGTGCTTTCTTACTTCTAAAATCATATTCAGGAATTGATTGGAATATCAAGGACTCAATACAAGCTGAGACATTCATCAGGGGAATTAATAACTTTAAGGCTTATGTTTCTTGTAAATATAGAGAAAATAATCAACTGCTACATATTATAAATCTCAGACCACTTAAAGGTACTTGACATTATTTGTATTTAAATTTATTTTCTGAAATGAATCAAGTGTAAATCTTAAATGAAATTTTTTGTTTTAAAAAGGATGAAATACAGCTCTCATTACTTTTGAAAATTTCTCAGTCAGCTTCTCTGCAAAAAATGGAGAATTTTTTCAGTTAGTTTGGACTGTATGCATTTTATATTCTGCAGGCAAGCTCAAAAGACACTGGATACCTGTATGCAGCAATACATCACCGCCTTGTGGCATTGCGAAGCTTTGCTGAGCAAGAGCCAGATGTTAATCAAGTAGACACAGAGTCAGAAATAGCTTTTCACCCATTAAGCTGTGATAGCGATGATGAAGATGATGAAAAAATAACTCAAGTGAGCAGCAGTGGATCTGGTAAGCAGAAATTTTCCTGGGAAAGCTGTAATCTTTTCAGGGCATTTTCTTGTAAGAAATGAAAATTGTACCTTTTCATGCTGACTATAAATTTAATCTGTTACAAATACCCCCTTTCAAGTAGAAGAGGATAATTCATTTTAGTATTTTGACTTATTGCTGTGAAAATGCAAGATTTTGACAGATCAAGTATCTACACATCTTTATAGCAGTGGAATACTCTTTTGACAAAGGCTAGGTGTTCAGAAATTTTAATACTGTCAAGCTTTACCTAAAGGTTTCTTCAGTATATTTCAGTAGAAATTACTAGAGATATTAAAATACTGGTTGTTCCTTGAGTAAGTGAAAGTTGAGTGCATTCACATCAGCGCTTAGGTAGTTACTAACAGCTTGGAGCATAATGTGTTTACTACAGTTTTTTAATGCAGTGGTTAACTTCATTTAAAACACTGATTCTTGATCAGCTGTAAGAGCTAACTCACTAGGAAAATTGAAGGTCAAGATTTACACACCAGTTTTGCCAGCTTTCTTCAGCATAACAAAAATTTAGGCTTCTCAAAGGGAAGAATACAGCTAAAACAAGATATAAGGGGCAAGCTGCTGACTTAGTCCCTCTAGAAGCTGTTAATACAGCTCACAACAAGGCTGGGGTCACATTTGAAGGAAGCAAGGCAGAAACACCTGTCAGGCTTAAGGTCTCTTCTATCTTAGCAAGACAAGTTACATTTCTGGGGCAAATCCATATGCTTGTGCCAGACTGCTACAGCGGATATAGGAGTTGCCAATTACATGTGATTTTCTAATAGAAGAACCGCAGCAGGTATACTTGAGTTGTTGCTCATTAGCTTCTCTCTGCAACATACTGTCCCTATATTATAAACTCTTCCTTTTAACAACAACAAGAATCATCATGTACAGGTAACAGCTATGAGTGACTGTTTCCTTAAGGAAACAAGTCTTTTTTCTCCTTTAGGCAAATAGATTGCAGTTTGTTCCTATTATTAATTTCAGTAGCATTCAGTGCTCTAAACAAAGCACGATGCTCTTATACATTCTGTTTAGGAAATGGGAAAATTGTTATCTCTGAGAATTCCCTGGATTGCTCCCAGATAATCAAATATTCCCTCTGTAATTCCTAAATAGTCTTATTGACTTTACAGAGTTACTGGTAACTTGAAAACTCTGGGTGGAGCTTGATTCCTTTCCAGAATTATTGATGATAAGAACTCTTTGTTCTTTTAGGAAAAAAAAAAAAAAAAAGAGGGGAAAGGGAATGTCAAAGCAGTGTGGGAGCATAGATTTACAAGTTCAACATTTATTTTGATTTGCAGAGACTTCTGATACAGATATTCAGATGGCAGCCAGCAAACAGATTCTGAGATATGAGTGTCAGGTGCTTTTTTTTCTGCACCTTTTAGTTTAAATATCAGTCCTTCATTTATGTCCAGTTACTGACAGCAATACAACAATCCCTTTCAGGTGCTTTTTTGATGACTTCTAGCACTTTGTGCTTACCTTAATTTCTTCAGTTATTCTCAGAGCCATGACGTTTTAATTTTGAAGACATTTCATTTACTGGTATCCAAGTCCCACTTGGGGGATTCACGTCTTACATATGCGTATCCCTGGAACTCTCATTTCCAAAACAGGAGGAAAGATATACCTCATGTGTTTTGAACAGACTGAGGTTAATTTTAAATATGAGTATAGAAATGTCCATTTAGATGCAAGAGATTAGATCCTGAATATATAAGAGCATTTGTTTAAATCTTTCATTTTCATGCTTTCATTTTCATGCTTTCATTTTCATTGAAGGATGTGCATGAATAAGTCATCTTCTTTTTATCAAATTCAGTTTCAGAGATTAATTCTATTTAAGACTACTAAACTTACTTAACTAAAGTTAAGAAGTGTAAGTTCTCAGTGACTGTTTCATTACAAGAAACACAATTAGAAAGTATGCCTGCATTTTATTTTGTTCCATTCTGTTTTGTTTAAAAAAACCCCAAAAAACAAACCAGTGATAGTTTTCTTTTCTTAATACAGATAATTTCCTCTTGTTAAACTGAACTCACACAGTTCCCTAGATTATGCTGTATATTTCATGACACTGTAAAAGACATGAAAAAATAGATAAGAATTATCTTTAGTCTAGAGACTGAAGAAGAAAGGCAATATAATATACATAAGTGAAGCATTGTAAACATTAAAGTCTATATGTTTGCATTAAGAATTATTTACACAGAATTCTTAGCTATAAGGTCCACAGACTATTAATGCTGTATTAGGACACTATAAGGTAGTAGAGATATTTATACCATTTTACAAATTCAATAGAGACATATATTCCACTATTTTTTAAATTCTTCATTGAATTGCTTTACTTTGAAGGAGAGATACTAATTTCATAAAGTCCATAAAGAGTAAGTTGCTGTACATGATATTTTTATCAGACCATGTATCACCAGTTACAGCTTGGATATTTTTACCAACAAATTGCTTCATAAATCTAAGTGGAGAGAAACAAAACAATCAATCTTTAAACAGATTTTGAGAGTGGGTGGGATCAATAACTCTCTGGGAAGTATTTCTCTTTTCCCACTGACTACAAAGTGAGTTGAGGATATGAATTTAGACTAGACAGAAAACTTCTAGGCTGACCAAAGTCAAGCAAATCACTTCTTCCATTTCTTTCATTGCTAATTCATTTCTCTGCCAAGCACTGTAACTGCGTTTTCCACCAGTTGTCTTTGTAATATCTAGCTGAGGACAGATCAGAATTCTTTATTACACATATGAAAAAAATTCTCACTAAATAATGCAACAAATAAAACAATTAAAAATGACAATGTGTGAATGATTGGACCAAGAGTGCTCCCTTCTGAGGGAAATGTCACTGGCCTCAGTTGCATGACTCTCTCCTTTCAATTTTCCTCTCTTTGGACTTGTAAACATTATGTTCTTTGCTGTGTGGTAGATGTGCTTCAACAAACCGAACACTTACATTACACTTAGCCAGGCATATAGAATAGCCTAATAAGAGAGCATGGTCTCCTGATAGGCAGTGAGTTGTACCAGACCTCTGTGGATGAAGAGGACCTAATACACTATAGGTCTGTGTGGCAGGTGAGTCCTGCGCTGAGTAACATGTCAAACTGTTGCTCCTACCTCCTCCTGATTAGCTAATAAATCTCAGCCATGGATCTGGGGCTTTTCTGTATACTGGCACACCTGTGTCAGGTATCTGTGCAGACAGCATCTTCTGACTCCTGTTTTTTAGGCACCTTGACTACAGGCAGTTACAAGTTCAGCACAAGCAAGGTACCTATGTCAGGCCCAAAAAAATACCCTGCTAAAACATGGATCTGTTAGAGTCCCAACACCTAAGCTTGCCATTGGTAGGAGGTGACTGGAAGTCACTGCTTAGACCCATAAATGACTAAGATGTCTCTGAAAATGTTACTTCTTGCTTCTGACACTTCTAAGAGATTTTTCCATGTTTTATTAATAGCCATAAGGAGATTCTGTCCTTGCTCCAAAGGAATGCATTTTGTTTACGTTTAGAAACAGGCCCATCATAGTCAGAAGTAGTGGAAGGTCCCTAAAGTGTTGTAACCTTGTTAGTATTTAAAAGAACTGTTATTCCTTGAGAGACATAAGGCATTTCTTTCACAGGGGAGTATGAATTTTCAGTTGTAGTAGTAGAATAGCGTGGGGCTATAGGTAGGATGGGTCCTATGATTTCCATCCTTCTCCCTTTTCTGATTTTGCAGGAATTTGTTTATTTGTATCCCTGAGAGGGAACAGAGAAGCTGGAAAAGTACATGTGAGGGACAAGGATGACAGTGTCACTGGGCAAAGAAATGTTTTATGCATTATTTCTTGTACTGCACCTCACCAATAACTCTCTTAGATCTTCTCCTGACTCATCGTCATTGATTGAGATGTGGTCTCCTTCCTGGCATGGAATTTTCTTTTAGAATCTATTAGGGTGAATTCAAAGATGCTGAAGTCTAGGGATAGTAAGTCCCAAGAAGTGTCTCCATATGTAGCCATAGACCTTAAGAGAAAACCATAGTGTACAATGACATGGTGTGTCCCATATGGGTTCACCAAGAATTTCACGGATTTTGGAGACTACTGGTGTTGAGAGCAGGATGTATCATATAACAGAAGTGCAACTTTTTTTTTTTTCCTATTTTTTTTTTTTCTAGTCCACTATGCACATACCTCCCATGTTGGCCTCACAAGGACTCTGTCACCTGCTGGCATTTATCAAGATTTAAAATGTTATGAAAGCTTTTTTTTTAATTTTTAAGTAAAATATTTCTAAAGTTATTAAAGGAACTACTGTTCAGCAACACCACAGGAACTCCTGAAAAAAGTGATATCCTTGTTTGACTTTTTTTGTCAATTTAATTTAAGTTCTTACCAGTTGTTAAGGGTTCCAAATTATAAATCTAACACACACAAACACTGATAGTGATTAAAACTGAGGAAAAGTTAAGAATTAACTTCTTAGTTGGAGTCCAGGTTTCTGTATTCTTTCCAGCAGATATCAGTAACATCTAAAGCAGAGAAGAAAAGACAACTTTGATAGGCTTTAAATGCTGACATATCAGGAAAGACAAGGTGGGAGGAGGAAATCAGATGTAATATTTTGACAAATTCAAGGCCTTTCATTTCACCTGTAAGAGGTTTAACATTTTTGTTAAGTATTTATTGGTGGACAGATTGTGGCAGCAATTTTTAAACAGATAGTGAGATAGTGATACTATGTGTCGGTCATTAGTCATCTCTATCTACCTTATGCAGATGAGGCAAAACCATAGAGATTATGCACCAAAACCACCCCTGGGTACTTTAGCATGACCAATGAGTTGTTTGAAGATATGTTGGATTTCTCACAGTTTACTGAGCACCTATTATGAAGTGTTAACAGTGTCCCCTGTGTAGAGTGAGATGATTTGCATCCCAGACACACTTGTCCTATCTAGACATCTGAATCCTTATGCTTATGTTCTTGTCTTTATTGACATGGGGGGTCACAGGCTTCATTCACTATTCACATGCTCAAATATTTGTGAATAATCCTGTGTTATCTCGTTAGATATTTACTTAAACCAGGAACTGATCATATCCAAACTTTAACCTACTGCTTTGGTATTATGAAATGCTGGATTGTTTCAAAACATGAATATGCTTAAATAAGCAAGATTTTTTAAAAATTCTTTTTCAGATCATTCTAGATGGAACCACAGGGAGTCTGCTGTAGTCTGCTCATGACACCTACCAGAGGTTAATCACAGTACAGCTGGGAACTCATCTTCCCAAAATGTCTAAACTGACTCATCAGTCCCTGGAGGGAGGAAATCAGATGCATTTATTTTATGACTTTTAAACAAAGATTAATTTTAGGCACATCTTAAGTTTAATGCATTTGGAACAAACCTGAGATGTACTTCTGAGGATTCCCATCAGCCTGCTTTGCACTGAGATGGGAATGACACAATGGCTTCCAATATTCAAGAAGTGTTACAAAGGCTTCAGATTTTAGGATTAAATATATTTAGATGCATTACTAAACTAAGGAATTTTATAGGGAATAAATTTTTGTTCATCATATTGGTGGATAAAACCACATAAAACCATGAACTAATTATATATGAAGAGATATTTGTTACTTTTCATCTGTTATTTAAAAGATACATTCAGAAAGCTTTAAATTGGTCTTCACTGAAAACATTTATTTAAAATTGTGTGGTAACATTCAGCATCCTATTTGTACATACATACAAGCAGAATTGGGGGTGGCAGTTTAGCATGACCAAGGCTTATACAAACCAGCCTTCATAACAAGATTTTTTTTCCCATTTGTTTTGAAAATATCTAGAGTTGTGTACTGGTTGTAGAATTTTGTTAAAGGCCAAAAAAACATGATCTGCCTTTACAGCAATAAGCACTAGGAGGATTCACCAGGAAGTACTGCAAGCAGGTTCTAGTGGGCATATGAGCTTTAAAATCTAAGAGTATATCTGCTTACACTCATGAACACCTTTTCAGTTACACGAGACAAGCTCTTGCCCTGCTAATTGTCCATTTGATATATGCTAATAAAGGCATGCACAGTATAACTGGATATCTGCATAAAAATTTCTCTTAAATGTGTGATATTATCTAAGATTACTTCTTCTTTAGCTGTAGCTATCCCTAAACAGCATCATTCCTTGAAATAGATGAATGTGTTACACATCCTAATATGTACAATAATCCCAACAGTGCCAAAGACCCAGACACTCTGTAAAAGTGATTCCAGAGACTACTGTCTTCTACCTACCATTATCATGAGGAATTAGAAAAATCAATTCTCTCTAATGCCACCTGTGAATTAAGATTTACCAGATCATTCATAAACCCATGCACAGTACAGACACCATCTGTGGTCTGTATTTTCTATTCATCCTGTCAAAAGATAAAGAAAGTATGTGTGTAATCATTCTTCTCTAACTTCTGCCTTATATATAATTGATTACCAAATACTATTTCTTTCTCATCCTAAGACCTAAAACAATGTTTTGAAATATCTGAAGTCTTTTTAGTTAAGGTAATTGTAATGATTTCTCAGTCTTAAAAACTGCATCACACCTGAAGAGTGAAATTACAATTTAGTTTTCCATCTGAACATATGTATGTAGTTGGAAGAATACCAGCTTCTTTCTCAATTGCCTGTCAAGATCAGCATCCAGATGAAGCTGAACTAGTATCTGGATTATGCTGAATCCTAAATAACCTGCCAAAATTAATACTTGTCTCACATTGATTTAGCATCTGGATGACAGTGAGCTTAAGTGGGACTGGGATTTTGCCTTCAGGAAAAGGGGACTTCTTCACATTTGAGCCCTTGTGTCAAATAGTGAAACACTGGAATCCTCTTTGACTCTTCAGTCTGCTGATAACAAAAATGTTCTTTCCATGACTAGCTGTACATTTTGTCCTTTTCTATCAGTATCACTCCTGACCACAAGAATATTTGCAACACTGACCTTCATATTTCATTGCTGCAACTCACACTGAGGAACAAAGCTCCATATTATAAAAACTTAGCAGTTGTAAAACACAGCAGCTCTATGTATTTAGCAACAGGTCATGGTGATAACTTTGCCCTGGAGTTCAGCTGGCTATGCACTGAATGCAGAGTTTGATTTCAAAGTCTGTCCTGATAATCAAAGCCTTTTGTGAAATGGGTTTTAAGCACCTGAGTGTCATGACATCCTTCTAAATTCTACTACTGCTGTAAAATCCTTGGTAAATGAAGGGGCCTTCCAGAGTCAGAACAGAACTTTTGCAGACACAGGACATAAACTTTGTCATTTGCTTCCACATCATAAAGAATGAGGCTTATGTTCATTCACAAATAAACTCTTTTTTGATCTGCCTCTTCCCAAGATCGTTACATATATGCACAAGTATACACAAAACCACACAGGTTCATGCACACACACATGCTCTCAAACATGAAGCTATGTCTCCTAAAAGCTGAAGAGGAAAAGAGGTATTTATTTGGCAGAGTTTGGGTACTGTGGTAATAGAGGGTGTATAAATATACTTACGTGCAGACATATTTATGGTATGAATTTTTACTCCAGAGATCCTAATTATTTATTCTATTTAGTCTCATTGCACTACAATTCATCATTTCTCAAGACTGAAGGTATGCTAATGTGTAATGTATAAACTTAGTTTTAAAATGTATAGTTTGTCATTTTATGACAGCCAGAGCAACAATTTCTATGCTGAACAATAAACAATTTTCTTACAGCTATAATTTCCATCTAACTAGTTGTCTTATTTTGTGTCCTAGTTAGAGCTTCCTACAGATGGTTCCTTCCCTGCCACAGAATTTCAAGTCTGTTTTCCTAAGGAAACAAGGTTTAAACAGTTGTGTACTCCATCCATCTATCTGTCAGACCCACTTCGAGCCCACTGTTTGGTTTCAGAAAAATTGGATGAGATGTAGAAAGCTCAAAGACAATTTAATTTCTTAATGAAAATTGGCAGGTTTTGAGGACAGAATTCAGAGGAAGGTATCCTTTGAGGAGAAAGTTTCAGTGTAAACTTTGTATTTTCTGTGAGGCTTGTGGGGCTGAGTGGAACTTTCCTGCCTCTGAAGAAGCTGCAGCGTTTGTGAGGAGGGAGGAGAAAGGAAAACCATGGAAGGATGGATACCTGGGATTACTGTGGCCTGAAGAGTGGTGTTGGGACATGAGATAATTAATTTTGCTGTTTGTGGAGCAACCTGTTCCTCTGTGGGGTTTTTTTTAGATGAATGTTATTGATTTATTTATTTCTAACAAACCCCAGTGATTAATTTATATACATAAAGGGATGCAGAGGTGGAAGCTCTTATGTATTATTGCAGTAGTAATTTTCAAAAGGAGAGCAATCTAACAATTCCTAATATAAAGGTACATATGCAGATATTTTCCACTAAGACTATGAGTTTCTAGCAAAATCTACTTGGATGGGATAGCCTAAATGGCTTATTTAACATTCTGGATGTATCTCTTCCTAAATCTTGTCATTCAGGGTTTTATGACATGATCTTTAGTGACCTCTAAATTAGTTTTATCAAACTGTATGAAGTTGAGTTTGTTAATGTCTCTATTTAATCAAGGAATACAGGGAAAACCTTTAGCACATTTGATACTGCTTTCAGTGCTACTGACAGCCTGTATGACATGGACAGGGCGGGAAAGAGCATCCACTTTCCCCTAACTGGGTTTTAGAGGACCTACCAGTGAGGCATTCTGGTAGGAAATCTAGAAAAAGCACACATTGCCTGTTCCACAGCAGTTGTCTGTCTAAAAAATGGAGTTCAGATGCCCAAGTCGTCTTCACAAACACTATTCTTGCCAAACAATGTATCTGCAGCTGTTTCAGCGTATTCAAATTGCTTCCAAAATGGTAAAAGTCAGTTGTGTTAGTCCACTTCAGGGATGGTGTAGTTTGCTTTGCATAAGCAGAGTGGGAAGAAAAGTAGAAAATTAAATTTCTGTTAATTGAAACATACTCTAATGAAAGTGTGGACAAGAAAGCTTACCCCTTCTCGTTTTGTATGAAAAATTTTCAGTAATTTGCATTCATAAGAATAACTGCATTTATTTTGCTTTTTCTGAAGCATCTGTCTCTATTTTGGAATTTATTAAGTAAATGATATGACCCAACTATGTAATCACTGATGAGGGTACATGTGTTGCAAGCACAATGCAAGCACATGTGAACAGAATCTGGAATCAGAAATTCAGCAGACTACACCTGCCAATGTGTTCATATACCTGTGATGTAAGATGCTGATGTGTTGCATGAGTGACACGTTCTTTAAGCATTAGTCTGGAGTTTTCCTCTGGATAATTGGAATTAATAGCTGTGGTCAGCTGGGCTCTAAATCTGAGGACTCAAGTTTTGTGAAACGTTACTGTGATGGTCTGTTTACCTCCTCTGTGAATGCAACTAACACTGATAGCATTGTCACTTTAAACACAAAGATAGCACTATCATTTTCAGGTACTGGTAGTACTTAGGGGCATATAAAGAAAGCCTAGAGGATGTAAATGATTGGATGAGTTACTTATGTAACTGGTTATTAATTAAATGGTCACAAGAAGGCATTACTCACAGACTTCAATGAGGAGAGAACAGTTGTGCTAGATTGTAACTAACTGCTCTAGAAACAATATGTAAATTCTGACGGATGAAAAAAGGCTACATGTGGAGACCATCTTATGTAAAACTGCAGGTATAGTCCCTGTTATGCAGTGTAATGGTTTAGGAATAATTTAGTGTTTACATAGAAATTTTTCCAGTTACATTGTTTTGTAACACAGAAGCTTATTACATAGGTGGGTTGGTTTTTTTTTTGTTTGGTGATTTTGGTTTTTTTTTTGTTTTTTTTTTTTTTTTTTTTTAAGTCCATCATATAACTTAAAGAATGCAGAGCTAAGGATGCCTGGTTTTCTGTGGATTTGTGTCTTGAAATTTACCTCATGTATTGTCCTAAAATGGGCATTACTCTGAAGCATTTTCCCTACTGTAGGCAGTATTGAGGTGGCCATTTCTATATGGAATTTTTAAGTACTCTTTGCTCAAAACAAAGTTGGTTGTGGTCAGGCAAGAGTTTAAAAAGTTATTAGAGTGGGAATTCACCCCTGCTCCATGCTCATATCCTATAAGAATATCAGGCTAAAATGTCTGTGCTTATTAATTTAATACTGTGTGAATGAATCCATCCCTTAATGCGCAAACTGTATTGCTCTGAAGTCACTGAGGACGGGGCATGAAGACATGTTATGTGTCACAAACTGAATACTTCTCAAAATAAGTAAAGTGTTGTTTGACAGATACTTGTGCCTTGTTCCTGTGTAGCAGGTGTATGCTCAAATCAAAATGTATAGTTAGTAAGGAAAAGGTTAAACGGTATCTATCAAACATTTTGTAAGTAAGTCCATTTACAGAGTAAGATGCAAACTGTAAGTAACAGTCCATAAACTCTATTTTACATATTACAGAAAGTTTAAACCTTTTCCCCACATAGACAATGAGGTGTCAGATGATCTGGGAACCCTTCAGCTGGTCTGTCAGAGACTTCCTTCTGGGAACCCTGGATGAATCACTTCCTGCTCTGTGCCTCAGTTCTGCTTCCTGAATGTGAAGATATCATCTGCTGTTTTGAATTTCGATTTAAAAATACATATTTCATATGTTATGTTCATAATGCTTGCTGTGGGCATTAATTCAAAAGACTGTAACATGGTAATTGCATGGCCTCAGAGTAAAATACTGGTCCATGCTCAAGCTCGTCTTAAGTGGTTGAAGCTGATTTGTTTTTCAAACAAAGATCAAAACAACTCAATATAAACAAGTAATACATGAAGCATAGAATGCTAGAGTAGCTCAATGGTCAAATAAATAGTAAAAGACATACCATTCAGAACAGAGCTGTAAATTTTCAAAACCTCTTACATCCTTTTGGTCTCCAGGATCTTGTATCAGTGGGTACACTGCTTCATACAATCCAAAAGTTAATGGTTACACAAAATGAGGCATTTTCTGGCTAGCAAGGGAATTAGTTATGTTTAATAACTCTCCTGGTCCCCCCGGGCCCGTGAGCCGGCTCTGAGCCGGCGAGCGGCGCCGCCCGCAGCGGTAGCCTGGGAGAGGGGCTACCGGCAGCGCCGCCTAACCGCCCTTCGCTCATCTGTCGCGATGAGCGAGGGATTTGTGGAGTAAGCGCGTTGGGGTTTTATCCTCGTAGTGAGTGATTCCAGCAGCATTCAGCAAGCTGCGGTTTCTTTCGTGCAGTGTGTAATGTAAAGACGGTTTAGAGAAGTGCATGCTGAGGAAAGCGCTATGTTGGGAAAATCCCCTCTGAGACTTAGGACTAGCTTTCATTTCCTCCTGCTCCTTTCCTCTGTGCCCTTGTTTCGCTTCCTTGCTTCATCCTTAAGGTATTTTTCTAACAACTTCTCCAGCTAAGCAGCCAGATCTCTCATTCACATCCGTCCTGTTACAGTTTTTAGAAAAGCCTTTTTCTTTGGTCTTTAAAAAAACATTCAGTACAAAACCAGGTGGCGGTTCCGTTAATGAAGGTATACTAAGGAAAGCAACTAAGGAGTTGATATGTGCACCCAGTGTGTAGTGACTTCATCGGGCTCAGTGACCCCGTGCTGTCTTCCATATACGCTGTGGCTGTTGTGTTCCAGTGCTCATCTGCATGGTGGGCTAAAGAACGGTCCCTGCTGGTGTCACTTTGGTTGCCAGCGGTCTCTGTAGACCACCAGGACATGAGTTCATATTGGTCTTTATTCAGAATAAGATCATTAATTTGGGTCTGTCTATTTTTTGGTCTCTTAAAAACTGGAAATATTTTAGACCTCTGTTCATTTGCGACGTTTGGATTAAACTTGCCGATGTGCTCAACTTGCGTAGCAGGGACAAATGCTGTGGTTGCATAGCCTAGTACAGTACAGTACCTAAAGCAAGATAGTGCTTAAATTTTTCTCTGTACTTCAGTTGGTCATCCACCTCCCATGGAATTCCTATCCAGACATTTTTACATATTTTGTGAAGGTCTCTAGTCAAATTTCGTATGATACCAAGTTTAATGAGGAAACCTCTGCCTGTGTTCTTGTTCATACCTACATGTAAGTTCCTGTTCAGATGTCCTTGTACTTACTTCCATGTGGTTGCTATGGAAGAGCAGTGTCTCTCACAGTTCATCTGTAAGTCTGCTTTTCTGTCTTCCTTTAAGCTTCCCTTGAGGAAGCATTTCTTTCTGTTAAATATGGAGAATTAGATTGTCCTCGGTGTGCAGCTAAAACCAAGAAAAACAAAATGGCGTGTTTGGTCAAATTTCTCTACTGCTTGGGTACAGGCAGGACTGGGACAGTCAATCAGTCAGTGAGCAGTATGGTTAGTGCTGCACATCCCTAAAGGTGCTCTTCACTGAATGTCGCAATAGCTGCAGGTTTTTTTCTCACAAGAATGCGTGTTTTGCCTGCTTGGTAAAACAAGTACCTGAATGCACAGTGTCTGACTGTAGTAGTTTCTGGAACACCTTAGAGTTTGTCCTTTTGGAGAAACTTACAGGTGTAAGATAGTTCTTTGTATATGGGACAACTCTAGAATGTTTATTCTAGGACTGGTGCTTTTTAAAATGTTGTTTTCCCATGAAAATACCTCTGTGTGAGGAATTGCAACAATAAAACTCATGTTGCCAGGTAGACAAAGCCTAACTTGCCTAACTATGTGTGTAGCAATATTGTTAGGTTCTTGTTGTATGGGTGGGAATGCAAAGATTTGTGCAAGAATAATGCTGAAAAGCTATTCTAGAATGATACATTTGAAATAGGAACTAAGGGAGTGAAGGAATTGTTCTTATTCCCTGTTTCTTAAATTTTTTAGCTGACCTATAAAAGCTTCTGTATTTGCATTCTGCTGTGACACCGGTCTCAGATTTTTTTTCTGAGCTAATGGCAGCCTCAGTAAATATGTTAGGTGGTAGTTCAGGAGACTCTTACTGTCTCTGTTGTGGATAGAGTCACTTCTTAGTAGAGTGATTGCTGCAACGTGTCCTTCCCCCTCTGTGCCACATCCTTTGTGGGCAGCTGGGGAACATGATGCATTTTTCTTCCTCTGTGCTCCTTGAGTCCCTGTTTCTTCTGGGGAGACTTCAGAAGCTGGTCCCAAGGCTAATGGTCTCTGAGAAATGAGGCTAGATGCTGCCCTTGGATGTGCAGCAAGTCCTTACTGCTGCTACTTAGAGTGAAGCTCAGTTCATCTTGAAGGTTGTGAATTGAAGTGGTTGTAAATTTGGTGTGGGAGCTCAGTCGTGCTGAATGGCTGTGCAGAGGGCAGGGTGGGAATTGAAGCTCACATAAAAGCCAGTTGGTGTAGCAGCAAAGAATGAAAGCAAAAGTGCATAGTAAAGGTTTGGCTCACCTGATGCTGTCAGCTATTAGCTAACCCAGACTTGGGGGGTGGGGGGAGATTGTGTTACATTGCAGAGGCTCAAGCTCAGGTGACCCTAGAGCTGGCTTGTGGTGCGGTACCATCAAGGCAAGTGGAAGCCCGTGCCAGCGGAGGAGCACAGTACAGCTGTTTGTCACAGATCTTCAGACATCCAGATGCTGGCTGTCTGAAATACAGAAATTCAATTTCAAGGCAGTGTTGGAGGGCTTAAATTTGAGAAGCCATACCTGGGCTTGTTTGCTTGCCAATTGTGGGCAGAAGAGGTGTTTCCAAGTTCATAGGAGATAACTGTTGTCTCTACTTGGAAGCTTTGGATTTTATTATAGCACAAATAATGATCATCGTGGGATTAAGCTGTTGTGCTTGATCGTGGTTACAGGAAAGGGGACCTGAGTTTAGCTGTTGCAATTGATGTGTTTATGTATTAAGACAGAAAATGCAGTAAGTCATTTAAGACAGAAGTGTGTCTTTGGGCCCACATCCCAATTAGGTGGGATTTGTTCCATATCTAAGGGGGCTAAAGATGAATCATTGGTGTACACCAATAGATACTGAAATATGATACAGATCATAACATATATCATTGTGTGAGCTGACACACGCATGATGCAGGAGCAACCACAAAACCACAGACGAAATTCATAGAGTACGTTTATTCTTGTTACCTTGTGACCCAGGACATCTCTGCAGCAGCACCTGAGCAGAGGCATGCAAGCAGGGATGCAGGCACCATGGAGCTTGGTCCTTGCTAGCCAGAAAGAGGAGTAGAAAGAAAAATGTCTCGAACCCGCTGCTTTCACCTGTATATTGGGGATTTCTCACAGGTGTAGTTTTCTGCTGTGCTTTGGTTATTCCCACAGCAGGGCAGGAATCTCAAGCATGTTTGACAGGGTGCCTCTGAGTCTATCACAGGCCTTTGTTATCTAAACACAGATGTTCTACTAGTGAAGCACACCTAATTAAACAACTATTAGTATGATACATATTTTTTCAAGACCCCAGCTGCAAATCACTTGACTGTGTTTACAATCCTCCTTGCAAAGTTTCTCTTACATTCCCACAACCTTATATATGATATATTGTATAAATCACAGTATACTCCAAGAAGCAGAATATTTCAGTATTGAAGCTGGCTGGCTGACACTTCTGACAGGCCACAGAGGCCCTGAGCAGCTATGGCCTAAATACTTCTGTGGCCTTTCTTTGAACACAAGTAAGTTGTGCTATAGGAATGTGATTAAATGTTGCAAAGTCAAAGTTACAAGGTCACAATTCCTGAATTATTTCTCTGTGCAGGCAGATATTGGAGAGTTGAAGAAGCAGTCTGAAGCTCGGGAGAGATGGAGAGCAAGGGCAAACACTTGAAAGAGCATTTAGTAGATCTATGAAAGCTTAAATCTTTCATTGCATCTCTACATGTTATGCATGCTTGCTCCAGATGGTGGTTTTGTCTCTTGTGGCAGATACTCTTACACACTTTTAACTCTGTTTATAACTGTACCTAAACATATCAAACTATCATAATTAGTGTTCTGATTCTGAACTATTGTGAAAAGTGTAATTAAGTGCTCTGAAGTACAGGGGAGGTTTTCAGAGTCTTCAGTTCAGAAGGAAGATGCGACCTATAAAAATGAGGGATTTATCTTCTAATACCAGCAAAGAAAAATGGCCTAGCCCTTAAATAAAATTGTTGCACCAAATCACACAAAGAATAATTCTGTTTGTCTTCATAAGATTTTAAAGAGACTATTGGATTTCTTTTGCATGCAGTTACCAGCTTTAAGTTAAATAAAAATACTAGTCGTTTGCCTAAGTCTGTACAAACAGTTTCCTTTCCAGAGATGACAACAATTTTAATTTCTTCTGGTTATTGGGATTGGCATCTGATTGTAGCTGGTTACAAAAGTGATCCAGTCAATTAATATGAAAGGCTACTGTATGTCCTGGCTGTTAATTTTGCTCTCAGCAAACCCACACAGAGCAAGCATTGTTGTCCTTCTGTAAACTAAGAGAAACTAATATCCCAGTAGTAGATGAGCTAATTTCCTGATTCCTGTTTTATTGTTTGATAGTGTGGTTGAGATGCAACTGCTGACTTCTCACTGCTGGAAGGTATTTAGAGAAGATCAACAGCTTAGCTGTCCAAGCACACTTCATGTACAGTTTTAATTAGCTTTGAAAATGTCTTGTCAGATGAAAAGTTATGTTTGTTTTGGTCTTAATTGGAGGAAAATCATTCAGTGTGGACCACAGCTGACACCTTGTGTCTGGTTTGTGTGTATTTGGAGCAGGAAGGGAGAGCAAGGAATTGGAGGTTTGGAGCAAGTTTTGGCTCTTTTGGACTGCTGCAACAAATTGTCAAGAGTGGTCTCATTAGAAATGTGAAGTTCATATAGCTTTCTTGAAAACTGATATCTGGGCGGGGTAAAGGTAGCCTATTAGCAGGATATTGCCTCCTCTAAAAGAGGCACGATGTGGACTCATCTTCAGCATAGGCCACGAACAACATATTGAGCAGGACTGGTCAGGAAGGAAGGAAGAAAAGTCTCCAGCAGGTAGTAGAGCTTTAGCTGGAGCTTGTATCTTCTTGTGCACCAAAACAAAACCCACAGAACT